CAACATATGTACAAATGTGCTTGACACAATGGATGGATGGATTGTGATGAGAGTTGTATGAGCCCCCAATAAAAATGATTTTTTAAAAAAAGGAAGAAAAAATAAAAATAAAGACTACCTTTCAAAAAAAAAGGCAGTTTCTATCCATGTGAAGTAGAACTGTGGTGAGGTATATGAAAATGTCCTAGTTTCCTATGAAAATAACTATTGTATAAATCTTAGGGAAAAGTGGTAAATTTGTTTTTTGAATATTCACTCCAAAATCAAACTTCCTGTCAGCGAGCCGATTCAGACTGACAGCAACTCGACGGAACTGCTCGCTGGGCTTCTCCTGGCCGTTCATCTGTGTGTGAGCGGAAAGCCTCACCTGTCTCTCCGGGAGCCGCTGGTGGTCCTGAACTGCTGCTCCCTTGTGGTTAGGAGCAGAGCAGGCACCCACTACATCACAGGGGTCCCTGAAAACCCAGGACCTCGATTATCTTCAAAATGTAAGAGAAGAGGAAAACCCCTTTTGGGCTTCAACTCCTCTACTAGGAAGATTTTCGTTTTATCACCAAAGGGACTTCAAAAAGTTTGTGGGGAAATTCCATGATCTTTTATCTTCATTTTCCCACAAAACCCTGAAGCCCCCAACACATAACACATCCGTGTCAATAGAGTCTTACAAACAAATAGATCCTGCCATTTTGTATCTTCCATCGTGGTCGTCGATTGCAACGTTACTCTGGACAGCTGCAGCGTGGTCAGGGAACAGGCCACTGACTGCACTTGTCCCTGTGCGAGAAATTCTGAGGCTCTCCAACGTTTTATGGTTTTGCACAACTATGCGATGACCTTCCATGTAGCTAAGTTTTGTACACATTCTTGTTTCCTTTACATAAAGTCTGAAATGCTGAATTGCTGAATCAAGGGCATTTAAAGGAATTTTGATAGCCACTATATTCTCCATAGCGTATCTGAGAGTCTTTTCAGCTTCTTGCCAAACGTGAACATTATTTTTAAAATCTTTTCTAATTTGATGCTATGATAAAGTTTCTAGGATTTGTGGTTTGCAGAGAAAATGTGACAGCAACTCAAAGAGCACTGCGGTGAGCCGAGCGCACGCACGCGCGCACGTCTTCTCCCAGCACGGGATTTCTGTGATCAGCGAATGGCCGGACACAGGTTTTTTCAGTTTCAGGACGGGACTTCAAGAAGTTCTTGTAAAACTGGAATGAAAAGATACTGCGTGCTTCCGCCTTATTAGGATGTTTTAAAAAATAAAGAAGTTCCAGTCAAGCAGTGGCTCCTAAGGAGACCTGGCCGGGCAGTCAAACCCAAGGTGGCATCATGGTCTGGCGAGGGTGACTGCTGAAATGTCAAGGGTCATTCCCTCTAAAGACAAGAGAGTCACCAGGACTTACGGTCTTACACAAAGAACTTTGGGAACACTGAAATCAGCACTGATAAGAAAAAGCCCCAGCAGAGTTGTACGGAGGAATTGTCTGTCCTGCACCTGCTCACGCTGTGAGGGCAGGAACACTGCTGTGGTCCCGCGCCCCGCCAAGCCTGCTGTTGGCCTTCTGGACTTCTCTGCTCCCAAAGGTCGAAGAACCTTGAACAGGGACACGAGCGAAGTCCCTCGAGGAGGCGGAGCCTGCTGTGATGGGCGCACAGTCAGGCGTGCACGCTTCCAGGGAAGGGCTGGTGTGGGGGAAACCCACCTCCAGAGGAAGATGTCAGAGCGCAACAGCCTCACGGGTTAATGTCTTTAATCAAGATGGCTACGGCAAATGTAGCAAAACTTTTTGACTTATACTTTGAAAAGTAACTTTGTTATCTCTCTTTTTTTTAACTGCCACACAGCACACTCTCACTTAGTGTGCTTCAAAGGGAGAAGTCTTCCTATCCTCCATCCAGAATGCTGACCAGTCTCTGCAGGCCGGTATTCAACATCAAGGCCATTGGCAGTTACTCCAACAACACTCCCATTACAATGTGTGCACAGTGCCGTCCACCTAGCGGGATTCAACAAGACTGAGAATGAAATTACAAAGCTCTCATTGGAAGTAGAAGAAATTCAATTCTACCACAAGTCCTGGAAGGCTAGCAGGTGAGGAGTTTAATCTTTCTACAGGGTTCACCGGAGCCGGGGCCACTGGTCCCCGCCGGGGCTGAGGTGCAGCGAGTCAGGGAGGGCTGTGCTCAGGGTTCCTGCCCAAGTGCTCCCCACTCCTGCCGGCAGCGCCCGTCACAGAGTGGGGGCAGTTCTTGAGATCACAGACGGCTCTCTCTTAAATGGCACACTTTCAAAGCAAGTGTTTGCTAAAACGCCCCACTTTACCTATTAATACAGGAAAAAACTAGTTTTAAGTTTCTCACCAACTCACATACATTTAGACTCAATCATTTAAGTTCAAATGACAAAACTTATGAAAACTTACTTCTCATCGACACATATTGCACGCTATCTTCTAGATTAATCCTTAATTTTGTTGGCTGAAAAAAAGACACATCGAAATTTAAGTTAGCAATTAAAAAAGAACATCATTCTACTAGGTAAGATAAAGGTTTTTTGGGGGGGCGGGGGGTTGGGTTTTTTTGTGTGGCTTTTTGTCCATCTTGAATGATTTAGGTGTGAGGGAATTCCTTTTGCCAACTATGCAGCTATCTACTCTGAACTATCACCCTGTCTGACACTGAGGGTGGGGTGAATTTCCTACACGGGGAAAGACAGAGGAGACAGCATCTCCCAAAGAGAGCGTGGGCCTCCGTAACCATGGCGGCAGTCGCTAGAGAGAGTGAAGGAGTATGTACGAATAGGAGCGTTCATTACTAAAACTGACAGCATTGGGCACTGAGGATAAAAAAGAGGACAAAAATGGGTAGGACACTGTCCCTGTCCCTGGGGAGCCTAAGGAAGGGGAAAGAGATGTCCAAACTGACAAACCCTTTTCTTGGTGCTTAAACTCATTCACTGGCTGAGTGGAGAGGCTGGTGGGGTTTGAACCACCAACCCTTGAGTTACTAGCCCCATGTGTAACCCACTATACCACCAGGGCACCTTCCGTTTAGTATACATGATTCGAAAAATTTCCCGGGAAACCTTTTACAAGCACCCGTTCATTCCCATTACAATTAATGTAAAACAACAGCATCTCTGAACATAGATAATAAATACGTGCTGTGATGACTAGACACTTCGGTGTTAAACTAATGCAAACACTTCCTAAATGCTTACAGCACCCTGGGCATTTACAGCAGCTCCATTATCAAGGCTCACGGTCTCCTCTAGCTAGTTGAACTGCCAACCATGCAGATTACAGCCCAACATGTAACCACTACCCCCAGCGGGCTTCCTTCCAGCTCTTTAGGGGCTACGAAAGAGAGCGTAAACTGATGCGCTCATTCAGCCCACGTAAGATAACGGGCACAGACACTCAGGCCTCAGTGCCCTTGGAGAGAAATCAGGTCATGACCACAAACTCTCCTATCCCACTTCTTCAGCTTGGCCCAACACAGCAGCTCCGAAAGGGTCTTCACCTTCCAGGGTGAAGAGGCCGGGCTGACAGAGGCATTAACAATGCACTTAAGGTCCCTTTAAAGCTCTCCTACCTGCCACCACCCTGGCCTCCACAACGTATGTCAGACCCGTCTCAAAGCCCCAGCCCTTAGGTCACATCAGCCCCAGGACTGGGACCTTCCATTCGGCTCCTGGGTCAGTCCTGGTGGATTCTCCGTGTCTCATTTGGTCCAGTGTTTCAGGGTCTGCATAACCACCTGCCATCACCGCCCCCTCTTTGGTGTCTGCGAGTTGCAGTCAAGGGCAGCACGTTTTGCTCGCTATACAAAGGTTGCTTAGTGAGTTCCCCATTCGGTCCACAATGTCATTCCTGTACACACAGCACACTGCTCTCACAGTACTGGAACGGATTTTACAGTTAGCGCAGCCGGTGGAGGTGAAGCCAGCCCCCAGTCCATGGTGCCTGCTTCCCGGGCAGCCTCAGTCCTCGGAGCAGCAGTGTGAAAGCCTCTGGGCACAACCCCGCACGGTGCTGCGGAGTCCGTTCCGATCATGGGGACCCCTGCACACCAGAGCAGAACCGTGCGCCACAGGGGAGTCGGTGGCTCTGTTTTTAAAAGTAGGCGTCAGGTCTTTCTCCCGAGGAGCTTCCAGTCGGGCTCAAACCTCCAACCTTTCAGCTAGCAGCAGAGCAAGTGAACCCCTAGCACCCGCCTGGGACAATACTTCATGGTTTACACATCTACCACCTCACCGTCTGCTCCCAAGCAGTCTCTGCTCTATGTGCTGCCCTGACTGTCTCCTCTGGGCTGTTGCCACAGACAGGGCTCACACTGAGACTGGCTGCATAGTAACCTGTGGAGAGACCAGGCTCTAAGAGCATGCACTCCTCCCTTTGTTCTTTGAACGTGAAAAACTATCGCTTTCTCTCTCTCTCTCTCTAAGGGATCACAACAGTATCTTCACTCCCCAGGGCCAGCAATCCTACCTTATATGTAAATTCTTTGGGACCACAATTCTGGAGTCTTCAAAGGCTTCCCAAGCATCTTTAGGTTAAGAATGATTCTTAGCTTAAGAATGGGTTTAAGACTGCCAAGTGCATAACCCTGATCTTTACCCTGACACAGCATGACGATATTAACTTTACCGTCAACTTCCTAAGCTAATGTGAAGATTGAAAAATTAAAAGGAAAGTTGTAGAATTCTATGTACACACAAGGCACTGTCATTATTGTTTTCCTTTTTGAAGCTGAGCAGGGCCCAGCATATACTGAGTGCTTGGTAAACACATCTTAGAATTATGGAGAGACTGATATTGTCCTTATCATAGAGAGGAGGCTTCAACTGGTGAATCACTTAGAAATAATGAGACGCTGAGTATTTTTAAAGAAACAAGGGCAAAGAATGAAAGCTTCCTCTTGGGTACACAGTCAGTAAGAATCACCAAGAAGATCCTGAGCCCTCGCCTTCCGTTTCCCACGACCGTAGCATCTGGAGAAAGTCAAGCTGACACAACGCTGGCACACCTTTCCCCAGGCTGCCTGGCACAACTCTGGCACGCCTTTCCCCAGGCTGCCTGGCTGGGAGGGACTGGACATTAAGCAGCTCGGCTAAGAGCTTCATCCTGGGGGTAGATAGAAGTGTGCCTCTTATCCTTGTGAAGTGGTCTCAAAATTAGAAAGGTGTCTTCAGCCAAAGTTAGAGATTAAAATAAACCAGCAGCAGCTACCTGCGTGTCTGCGTGTGTGTGTGTATGTGTGTGTGTGTGTGTACAAGCTACCCATTCTGGAGAAGCTGTTCTAAAACACCCCTAGGCGCCTCATCAGCATCTAGACCTGATTGACGGGACTACACTTTGAGTTGAAAATGTAGTGGGGTGAAATGCTTTGGGGGGCCGCCTTTCTGGGGGAGTGAGCGCATTTTATTTGTGCGGGAGTCATGAATTACTGGGGCTCCGAGGGCAGAACACAGTAGGCAGCCTGAGAGATGGCTCCCTGCCTCCTGCCAGTCGGGGCTTTGTCAGCTCATCCCCGTTCCTTGGGTGTGGACGAGATTTAGAAAGTCGCTGGGGCAAGCCTGAGTTAGGCACTGGGCTGCTAACTGCAGACGCACCAGACACTCTGCCGGAGAAACATGAGGTTGTCCGCTCCCTTACAGACCTGCCTCAGGCCACTAGGAGTCAGAGCGCTAATGCACTGAACTCAGCAACAGTGCAGGGCTGCCACCTGAGGCATGCTTCTGGAGGGACGCCATGCAAGTGAGAGGTCGCCCTCGGGGCAGCCCCTCAGCTGACCCGTAGGACAGAGTCACCGTTCCTTAGGTGATGTCTAAATGCCTGTCTGTGGAAGGGGCCTGGTGGCACAGCGGTTATGCACTGAGCTGCCATCCTCAGGGTTGGCAGCTTGAGACCACCGGCCCCTCCAGGGGAAAAGCCGGGGCTTTCTGCCCTGCAGTCACAGTCTCAGGAACACACGGGCAGTTCTGCCTGGCCCTGTGGGGCCACTGAGAGTCACATGGGCTTGATGGCAGCAAGTTATTTTCTTGAAAAAGCATTACCTGCAGTGGTTCTCAACCTGTGGGTTGCGACCCCTTTCACAGGGATCGCTGGATTCATCACAGTAGCAAAATGACAGTGATGAAGTAGCAACGGGAATAATGTTATGGTGGTGGTGGGGGTGGTCACCACAACGTGAGGAGCCGTATGAAAGGGTCTCGGCATGAAGAAGGTTGAAAACCGCTGCTCTACGGCACCTCAGTGGAGAGGCTGGCAGTTCAAAGCCACCAGCTACTGCCCAGAAGAAAGAATGTGGAGTTGCCCAGGGCAGAGTCAGGGCCTCGGAAGTGCTCCGGGGTAGCTCTCCTCCCACCTGTCGGTTCACAGTCGGTTCACAGTCGGAATTCACTCCAAGGACATGAGTCTGGTTTGGAATCAACACAGTAATGTAAGCAGAAAAGCCTTCCCTTTCTCGCCAACCCACGGATTCACCAGCATGGCCTCACCAGTATACGCTACGCCAGGGTCCTCAAACTGCGGCCCGCCGAGGGTTTTTGCTGCCGCTGTCTGTCCTGCTTGGCAGCCGACTCGTCCAGTGTGCATAGGCATTTGTTCATAGTTTTTTTTAAACTGTAGTCTGGCCCTCCAACGGTCTGAGGGACAGTGAACTAGTCCCCTGTTTAAAAGGTTTGAGGACCCCTGCTCTACGGGCTAACATCCTTTATTTGGATGCTCCAGCTGTTCCAGATGAAACAACTAAAACAAGAAACCCCAATTCCCTGCCAGCAAGTTGATTCTGCCTCATGTAGCCACCCCATTGGGCCGAGTTGTATTTGTGGGTTTCCAAGACTGTTAATCTTTACAGGAGTAGAAAACCTTGTCTTTCTCCCTGGGAGTGGCTACTGGTTTTGAACTGCTGACCTTGAGGTAACTTCCCTGGAAGTCCTTCCAGTGTGGCACCCATGAAAGGCCTTTTTCTCTCTTCTTCATTCATCTTCCAAATGGTGGTCCCAGAGGAACACTCCCAATGGGTAAACCCACCAGGTGTCAGCACAGCCACCGGGGCTTCAAGTTTTGGCAGCACACTCCCGGAAGATCAGCCAACACCTGCACCCTTGGCACGGGCACCTTTGACCGAGAGGCTGTCATTGCTGTTCGTGGCCCTGTAGTTGATTATGACTCAGGGATGCCAGGTGTGCAGGACAGAACTGCTCCACAGGGCTGTTACACAGTGCCCTTTGAGAAACAGATGGCTAGGCCTGCCTGTCACGCATCTCTTCAGCTGGGGTGGTGGTGGTGTTTGAACGGCCAACCTTCCAGCTATTAGTTAAACACTTAACTCTTTGCACCACCCGGAGTCTTACGAAGAGGTTACTCTTAAGCATGTTCCCTAAGAGGCTGCCACTGGGGAGTAGTTAAATTTCCCTTTCAAGCCTCAAGTTATGTCTCTCTCCAGCATGTGCAGGTTTACCTTAACATCTAGCCTGCTTGTACATTAGCTGGGAAATGAATACAGTATCAACCTCCAAACTATCATCAGATATTCCCTCCGTGCCTTTAAAGAACTCAGCTCTCTAAGAACCAGCAGCAACTCTCGGGCAAGCTGGCTCTTCAAGTTCCAACCTCAGGGTTCACACACTGAAGGCCTGTCCCCTCTCTGTGACGTCTCAAGGCCAGCACCTGCCTCTTGGCTGAAGCAGGAAGTGATGCCAGAAGCTCCTTCCAAAGTGGAGGAAAAGAATAAAAGAGGAAACACGGGGCCTAGAATTCTACGCGATGCCTTCAAGCTGGTAATGGGCTTTCTTCACAGATGATGCTCCTTCCTGTGTCCCTGCTGTAGATGGTAACACCCCTTCAAGGGCAACACCTTCATCCAAGGTGACTGCAAGCTCCGCACTTTGCTCACTGCGCTGAGTCAATGCGGACGGACTCACAGTGACCCTAGGGAACAGGGTACAACTGTCCCTATGAGTCTCAGAGGCAGCAACTGTTTAAGGGATTAGAAAGCCCCATCTTTCTCCCCCTCAGTCAGATAAGACCAAAAATATCAAGATATGCAACTCATTTTTATATAGTAACACATCATTTATGATCTATATGTAACTCATATTTATATAGCAATACAGTTTATGATATGTCCAATTTAAGAACAAAGTTTAAAGCATTGATATAGGTGTGGTAATTTACATAATTTCATGTCAATTTGAAGACAGCCACAGCCTGATGGTACCTCCTTGTGGGTATCGCCCTCTCATAAGGAGGGTCCTGGGAACTGCACCCCTCTCCACGCCTGCCTACCTTCACCTTCCTGCAGGCTGACCTAGCTGCTGCTAGAGCCCTGAGATGCATCCACTGCCAGTAGATCCACAAGACATTGCAGCCCCCAGCCTGTGCATTCTCCATCAGTGCATGTGACTGTGGGAGTCTGAAGGTCGTTGGACTTGAGTTGGACTGGGCTGGGCTGTTATCTCGATATACAACTACTTGCTATAAAGCTTTCTTAAACAAATATGAGTGCAAACGGATTTGTTTCTCTTGTCACCCTGGTCTGACACAATAGGTGTCAGAATTCCGTTCTGGAGGCAGGAAAGCCAAGCCTAGCAATTCAAACACTCAGAGTGGGCCTCCTTCATTCACTCACTAACGGCCTACTTGATCTTCCATAAGCATCAATGTGCTGGGCGTGCAACAGACACGGGTCCTGTACTGAGGGGCACTGCAAAACCCACACCAAACTCACAGCCATCGAGTCAGTTCCCACTTGCAGCCACCCTGTAGGACACAGCAGGCCTGACTTGGTGGGGTTCCAAGGTTGTCAACCTCTATGAGAGTATAAAGCAGGCGTCCTCAAACTACGGCCCACGGGCCACATGCAGTCCGCTGAGGACATTTATCCAGCCCACGAGGTGTTTTTGCCCCGTTTGTCTTTTTACTTCAAAATAAGATATGTGCAGGGTGCATAGGAATTTGTTCATAGTTGTGTTTTTTTTTTAACTATAGTCCGGCCCTCCAACGGGTCTGAAGGACAGTGAACTGGTCCCCTGTTTAAAAAGTTTGAGGACGCCTGGTATAAAGCCTATCTTTATTTTTGAGGAGCTACTAGGGGATTCACACTGCTGACCTGGAGGTTAGCTGCTCATGGCACAGCCCATTAGGAATTAGGTTAAAATGTGTCTTGAGAAGGACAATGCATGGAAGTGGTTCCTCCCAAGCAAAGAGCAATTATGTATCGACTTTGGAGTTCAACCATAACATGGAGAACTTTAGCAATTAAGTGCAGGTAGTTCAGGAGGACTGAGAAGATTAAACCCAGGGGCCAGGTTATGTTAAGAAGATTCTTTAAACTAGGTGACAAGATCAGAAACATGTTTTTAAAAACTGTTATGGTTATTATGTAGAGACCATATAAGAAAGTGGGCAGCAAGCAGGGCAGCAGCTTGCGAGGTTAGACCCGACTGGTGCTGGTGGTGACTTGCACTTGGACTGGGAGGATGAGGGGTGTCAGTTTGGGGAAGGGAGACGCTATGGCTGCTACATAGGACACTGGCTGGGGAAACACACATATGGGGGGGGGGTGTTATCATACCACGGATTAAAGCAGAAAGTAGAAGAAAAACCCCCAATTAACACCAGTAATTGGCAAACGGGAAGAGGACTTTGCAAAGGAGCACACAGGGAGGGGCCAGATGTGTGGCTGGAGCATCAAGGACACACAGTGTCAGAGAAGCCAAGAGGGACAGAAGATATGGGAGGAGGAGGGCAGCCTCCGGAGAGCTCAGCTGAAAGAGTGCTTCCAGCACAGAGCCCAGAGGGATGGGCTGGGGCAGGAACTAGAGGTGAGGAAATGTATTTCATTGGGGGATGGTGTGTGTATGTGTGTTAAGGGAGGGATCCTTTAAAGCAGGGGTGTCAAACTGGTGGCCCCTGAGGTAATTTTTTGTGGCCTCTGATGCTCTGAATAAAATGAAAATAGAAAAAAATGTTATGAAGAAAATAGCACTTAGGGGAGACTGACACACAATTCTCTTGTTACATTTTATTTCAGAGTATCGTGGGCCACAAAAAATTACCTCGGGGTCAGAATTCGGCCTCAGACTGCCAGTTTGACACCCCGGCTTTAAGGTAAGGGTCAGTTAAGTAGATAAGAATCTTCTGAGGTTAAAGCCTGGTTTATTAGCTATGTAACCACAAGCAAGTCTGCTTTGAACAACAGTAAAACAAAAGTAAGGCAACTCTGCCGGCAATGTTGAATTTCTCAGTTGCTAAGTGAGAGGGGTGGTGGTTCAAACCCAGTCATCAGCTTAGTGGGAACCCAGCACTGGCGAGGTCTGTCTCCACAGATTACAGGGGACCTTGTAAGGACGTCACGTGCTCCTTTCCCGTAGGAGCGTCCATAACTGAAACATCACAAGATGACAAAACAGGCTTCTTGGTGAGGAGGGGGTGCTGGCTGGAAAACCCCTGAGCATAACATGGAGAACTTTAGCAATTAAGTGCAGGTAGTTCAGAAGGGCCGAGAAGATTAAACCCAGGGGCCAGGTTATGTTAAGAGTCTTTAAACTAAGTGACAAGTTCAGAAACATGTTTTTACAAACCGTATGGTTATTATGTGGAGACCATAATAACCATAGCGTTGCTGAGTCTGAATGAACTGCATAGCACCCACCAGCAAGACCAAAAGGCAGGAGGGCCCCTAGCTCCTAGGATGGGTGCACGCAACGAAAAGAACAAATGCATTCATAAACTGTTAGGCATGGAAACTGGGCGACTGACTACTCAATAGTTGTTTCGCAACGACTAGTTACAGAAACCAAAAGCCCTTGTGGCTGGATGGTTATGCTCCAGGCTGCTAACTGTAGGCTCCGTAGTTCAAGGCTTTCTCTTCCAGTAAAAGAGTAACAGTTTCAGAAACTTACAAGAGCAAGTCTACTCTGCTCTGCAGGGTCCTAAGCAACAGTAGCGGCTGAGTTACTGAAAAGCTTGCAAAGGAGCGGAAAAGCCTCCTCCGGCTAGGGAGCCACCTGTGTCCCTTCTAGGCGTTCGGTGACGCGGGGCAGAAGAAAATTTGCTGAATGGCCAGGATTACAAACGGCTGCCTCTATGCGGGAGAAGAGGCTACAGAGAAAACCCGGTGATCGGTGGTCAGCCATGCACTGCGGGGCCAGCGGAGGGAGGGGAGCGTGCATTTTAGGGAAGCAGGCGAGGTGGACCAGCGTCCTGGACCTCGAGCGGCCGGTGTGGCGCGCTGGTGACCGCCCCAGCCCCCGGGGAGCTCAGCTCCCAGAAACCGCTGGACGGGCCCTGGCTGCGCCCCGCAGGCTTACCAGCAGGCCCTCCACGTTGATGGGGTCTCGGCAACGGCGGCGGATGGTCTCCTCGGCCGGGTCCACGAGGAGGCTGGGCAGTTTCCTCGCTGGCCGCTGCTGACTCATGCCGCCGATCCAGGCGGCCATCGTCCCTCGCACCCGGGGCGCTCTCCCGCCTTCTCCGGTGCCGCCTCTCACACGCCGCCCTCCCGGGCTGCGCCCGGTCCTGATCCTGATCCCGATCCCGACACTCCTCGGCCGCCGTCCGCCTGGGCTGCCCGGAAAGCCAGAGAGCCACCCGCCCCCGCCGCGAGTGGTCGGCACCAAGCGGCGCAGAAGAAGGTGACCCCCTGCAGTTTAAAGCGCCCAGCTCGCCAAGTTCGCGCATGCGCAGCGCGCCGCCCCAACGCGCATGCGCCATGCGGGCCTTTTCACTCGGCGGCGCGGCCGGAGCGCGGGAAAGTCCGGAGCGCGGGAACCCGCGGAACGTGGCTCCCTCGGGGAGCGCGGCGAAGCAGGGAAGACATGGAGCTGGAACTCCCAGAGAGGGAGCGGGACCGGGAAACTAGGCCTGTGTTCTCGGGGTTATTGACACGAATATGTGAAAGTTCTGAGCGCACCGCGAGGCAACGTTATTCCTCCGCAGGTGACAGGCACTGGCCTGTAGCTGATACTGACTTAGTCAAAGGTGAGCAGCCAGTGGGATTGTTTACCTACTGGCAACTTCCTCTCCTTTCTGCTATTTTCCTTTGTCCTCTTCTTTTTTAACTTTTACAAATTTTATTATTTTTTTAAAATTTTTTTGGGGGGGCTCGTACAGTTCTTATCACAAGCCATCCATTCATCCATGTGTCAAGCACATTTGTAGCCATCATCATTCTCAAAACATTTTCTTTCTACTTGAGCCCTTGATATCAGCTCCCTGGGATGATTGAGTGTTGGGGCAGGAGACAACCTGAGTTTGGCCCAGACTTGAGCCGCCATCAGAGAAATCAAAAGAAAATTGAAAAAAATATCACCATGTCACTTCCCTTCTCAAAAACTCCAAACTCAATTGCCATCGAAACAACACCCATAAGACAGAGTTGAACCGCCCCTCTGGGTTACCGAGAGAGACTGTCACTCTTTGCGAGGGTAGAGAGCCTCATCTTTCTCCCGAGGAGCTGCTGGTGGATCCGAACTGTTGGCAGCCCTAAATGACAGAATCTTCAGCACCGCCCACAGAGGGCTTCACTGTCTGCCTCCCAAGTACCTCTTCACTTCAGGAGCCCTCCCTGGAGGTCCTACCTCCCGAGACACACACACACACACACACACACACACACACACACACACACACACGCCCCTCGCCCTCCAACACAGCAAGGGCCAGCCTCGTTTTGCAGCACTCAGGATTGGGAGCCACACTCCCGTGCTTCGGGATATTTCTGCATCTTGTCTTTCTCTACCTCAAACCACCCCCTGCCCCTCTGAGTTTCTGATGCTGTCACTCATTCAAAACTCATTGCCACTGACCGTTCTGCGTAGCTGAGATTGAAATGGTTTACCCCCCCCAAAAAAAAGCCTCAGCTCCCACAGATCGCCGGTGGTTTCAAACCACTGGCCTTGTAGACAGCAGCCCAGTGCATAACCCCTAAGCCACCAGGACTCTCTGCCTGGAATCAATACTTTCCCACCTTTGTTCATCCCAGTTAACTCAACTTCGCTGTCACTTCAAAAACAAAACAGAACTCGACTTCTCTGTGCCTGCCTTTTATTTCCCTTATCTGCTACATTTCCTCCTGCTAGTCCTCAATTAGTATCCCGTGCACATTTCCCTTTCTAAAACAGCATGTGGGGTGGGGTCCGTCCCCACTCAGGGTAGGCTAGAACTGCACACCATAGGTTTCCATGGCTGGCTTATTTGGAAGTGTTGCCAGGCCTTTCCTTCTGATGGGTTCTGGGTAGACTTGAACCAGTAACCTTCTGATTAACGAGAAGCACTTCAGGGACTTTGTGAATGTTTCTTGACTAGTTCTGCATACAGTGTTTTGGAATTCTGTGATGGGAACATCATTATTTTCTCATTCAGACTTCAAGTCTGAGGCTTCCAAGGGAGAGGTGTCAGAAGAAATCCTGCAAACAAGTGAAACAAACAGAACAACAACTATAAAACCACACACAAAAAGCCCCTTTTATACTCAAAGGATGAGGCTAAAGGAGAAATTTGGGACGTTTCATGATTAAGCAGAGGTGGTTACTTGTTTGTTTGTTTACTGCCATTGAGTCAAATCCAACTCCTAGTGACCCTGTGGGATGGAGTGAAACTGCTCCACTGGATCGCCAGGACTGTACATCGTCACAGGAGCAGACAGCCTCATCTTGCACCCACAGAAAGGTTGGTGGGTTTGAACTGGGGATCTTGGAACTGCCCACACCATCAGGGTTCCTTCTTTAGTCCGGTCAGTATAAAATACTTTCTTAGCCAATGGAAGGAGGTTGGGAAAGGAAACCAAAAAAGGTTTGAGAATGAGGACTGTGAACCGGGCTCCCTTCTGTCTGGTCCCAATCAGGTAGGATTGAAGACTTCGGGCAGGGAACCTGCTCAGGAGGGGTCCCAGGAGGTGGCAGGCCTCACTGGCAAGTCCCTGCCCCATCCCAACACAGACAGGGTGGTAGAGGAAGGAGGATTGATAGTGTGATGCTCAGGGCATGAAATGCCCAGAGGCTCTCTCAGTTTCCTGCAGTCCCTGATGGCCACAGGAAATGTTATTAGTTGAATTATGTCTCCCACCCCCATATATGTTGGGGCCCTCACCCCTATACCTCTGAATGTGACTGATCATGCTTGGAATAGTTATGTAAAGATGGTATCGGTTAAGGTTAGCATATGAGCAGTGCCCTTATGAATGGGAAGATACACAGAGACAGAGAGAGATGGGGAAAGGATAGCCATGCAGTTCTGCAGGAACACTAAGGATTACTGGGAGTCATGCAGAAGACAGGAGAGGGGCGTGCAACAGATTCTCAGCATGTCTTTTCTGCAGAGGACAGATGGGCTCTCAAGACAGATATTAAGTTCAGGTATAGAAAGAACACAGAGTTACACATTGCATACTTTAGTCGGGACTGAGCTGAGTGCTAGCCCTGTCTGTTTCCTCAGGGCAGCGCTGGGCCTCTCATCCCTATGTTTTCACCGTGGTGTGTATGCAGCAAAACCAAACCAAACTCACTGTTGTCCAGGCCGACTCACACTGACCCCATAGGACACGGTAGAACTGCCCCCGGGGGTTCCTGACACTCTCTCTGTCTATCGGAGTAGAAAGCCCCCTATTTCTCTCTGGGAGCTGCTGGTAGTTTGGAACTGCTGACCTTGAAGGTTGCAACCGAACCGGTCACCACTACACCCCCAGGGCTCCCTGAATGTGTAGCAGGTGCTCCAAGAGAGGATGCGTGGAGGAGACAATGCCATTGGAGGGAGTGTTTGTGTTTTTCACTTGGCAGCAATCTTTATGTTTATTGAAACATGATTTATAAAAAGGCTATAAAGGCTCAAGTGTCGATACTTGAAAGATTACTTGGTTTTTTTTTAATCGAATTGTTTTTTCCAGGCTTGGCAGAAGCAAAGAATGCCTTAGATCAGTGGTTCTCAACCATTCTAATACCGCGGCCCTGTCATACAGCTCCTCATGTGATGTGACCCCCAACTATAAAATTATTTTCATTGCTACTTCATCACTGTCATGTTGCTACTGTTAGGAATCGTCATGTAAAAATCCGATATGCAGGATGTATTTTCGTTGTTACAAACTGAAGACAGTGAACGCATAGTGATTCATCACAAAAACAAGATGTAATTATATATTGTGAAATATTGATTTCTAATGACAAGGAAATGAAATTTTGTCTCGAAGTGTGGCATAGCACAAGTCACAGTCTTCACGCCGGGTACTCCTAGGTGGGCATGTCTGCATGTGGGCAGACCCGCCTGGAGACGGATAGAGGAGCGGTGTCTAGGTTCCTAAGACCATCGGAAATATGTGTTTTCTGATGGTCTTAGGTGACCCCTGTGAAAGGGTCATTCACCCCCAAAGGGGTCGCGACCCACGGGTTGAGAATCACTGCCTTAGATGTTTAAAAATTGGAGTGCCTCTTCTTGGGCTGATTTGACTGGAACATCTGTTTTGTCTCTTCTTAGAAGGGTTCAGGGCTTCTCAGGATGAATTCAACTCCCCGGGGAGTTTTCTCCCCTTTTTTTGGCATGGATTACTGAAAGGTTTACCAAGTGAGACATCACTCGGTTTTGCCCTAGCAAGACTAAACACACACACGTACACACACACACACAAATCCATCTTTGTGTCTTTAAGGATACTTGCATTTTCTAATTCTTAGAAACCACATCTGTCTCCTCCAGTGACTAGGAAACGCCAAGGAGAAAGGAGCTTTGGGCTCATCTCAGAGTTCCTAGCTTGTGTAATTTGGCAGAGTCCCGTGTTCCTGGGGAGCAGGGTAGTGTTGTTATGACGTGTTCCAGAGGGTTGTCCATCAGAACGTCAGGGTACACAGAAAAACGTATTGCTGCCAGGGGTCCACCTCCCACAAACACAGACAGAATGTGTTTGCATACGTCTCTGCCAGACAGAATGTGTTTGCACACGTCTTGCCAGACAGAATGTGTTTGCACACGTCTCTGCCATCAGTGGGTAGCACAGACAAATTCTCTCAGTGACGCGCTTGACTGAGTCTTGATAGGGGACCAGCCCAAACAGTGACTTCCCAGGGGAGCTGTCAGACCAGTGACATTCAAGGCAGCGAGGTCAGCTCAGAAGGTAATGGGGACAGCTGTGGGGATTCCCAAGGAATCCTCTTGATAGCTCTCTCAAGGACACAGGACCATCATTGGGACTTATAGATATAATATTATATTATTCTAGATTAGATTCCACCCCTCAGAAGAAGGATGAGGCTGGCTGCTCCTGTAAAGATTTACAAAGCCTTGGGAACCCTTTCCAGGGTTGCTGTCAGTCGGAGTGGCAATGGGCTGGATGATGCAAATGCTCTGGGCTCCACTACCTGCCACTGTGGGTTATTAGGTGTTTGTGATAGTTACAAAATCTCTTGTCAACTTGAGACTGATGAGCGAAGGGGTCGAGTTTAGCCTGTCAGTCAGCTTGCAGCTTGACGACCTCATTTGGAAACGCTAAGAGATAAATAGCTCATTGGAGGCAGGACACCCACTGACTTCCTGAGGGACCATGCAGCCGACAAGACACATGGAGCTATGCTAGAGCCCTGAGCTGGAGGAGCCATGTGGAGACCCCTGCCAGTGCTG